AGAGAGAGAGAGAGAGAGAGAGAGAGAGAGAGAGAGAGAGAGAGAGAGAGAGAGAGAGAGAGAGAGAGAGAGAGAGAGAGGCAGTAAAATCCGAGTGCAACTTGAAATGCGCATCAGAATAAATAAAGAGGTTACTATCGCTGCGGTGCTGCGTCAAAACCAAGTTTCAATTTTAAATCGACACAGGTTTTTGCAGGTAAGCTGCAGGACGAGTTTCAAGTGCAGTCTAGTCACTTAGGTTTCGGAAAAATGCAACACCTGGCATGGCCGAGACTTCCCAGCTGTGGCCTGGGCATAAAGGGCCACGGCAGAACTGAATCTGGCCCAAATCACGACCAGATTTTTGTCCAGGGCCCTTGTAGGCCCTGGCCCTCTTCACATGCCCAGGAAAATCTGAGCCGTCTCTCTATCAGATCGAACGGCTGAACACACAGTCGATTGTATTAATGCGGTTCAAAAACACTGCCATGAAGGATTGGAAAAAGAAACAACCAAAAAGGGAGGGGGATCAGATAGTGAGGGTGAGTGAGTGAGTGAGAGGTGAGGTGGACAGGTGAGCGCACCGCTATGATGTTCACTGATAGGGGGCAATCACGTCCAGTACCACAGCAGAGGTAGTCGCCAGACTGTATCGATTGAGAGGAGGTTCACCGACTCCAGAGAAGGGACCGACTTAGAAGCAGAAGGGACTCACAAATGAAACTGATTGCACATACTCCAGTGGTTTAAGAAGGAAACTTGTCATCGAAGGATTTTCCTTAAGCTGGCATCCCCTACGCAGCGTTTCAGCAGTTGCCTCCTCAGGGGGACCAGAGACACCAGCAGATGGAGGGATGCAGAGTGAGGTACTGAATCTAAAACTGATTAGTTCAAGGATTAGTAGACCACAATCTTCCAACATACCTGAAAAAGACTGACCTGCTGGGACCCAGTCCACCCCACTACTCCCAGGTTCCAGGTCTGTCCCAATGGGACAATTGCAGCACTTGTGTTCTTGTTTTTCCCAGTGATTAAGGGGCAGCAGGCCGCAGACGCCATAATCACTGATGGCCTTTTGCACGAACAAAGCATGAACCTGATCATTAATAAATCCAAGAACCTAGGTCGCAAGGACCACCCAGCCCTACACCCATGCAGATCACCTAGCCGTCCAGCCACCCGGGGCACCACAGGCATGTGAAAAATCCCAATTTTTTGTTTTCTTTGTTTTTCTTCTAGGTGCTGGGGCATCTCTGCCACCCACCGATTTGTGCCCGAATCCGGGGTCTTGTCAATACAAGGTGCAGATGCCCCACCACCTAAAGAAAACAAACCTGGGGTCAATGTGCTGAGGTAAGGTCCTGCCAACCAATTTGTACCCGAATCTGGGGTCTTGTTGATGTGCTGAGGCAAGGTCCTGCCAACTAATAGCTAGCACCGTCTCCCTCACGATAGCCATTTTAGCTGTATTATGGGCAGCTTCAAGTCTAGATACCGCTGTGATGAGTGACAGTGTGTGTTATATCCAGAGCAAGACGGAAGACCAGGCTCGTAGAGGCTTCTTATTTTTGCTTTCTCAATGTGCGTGCGTGTGTGTGCCTTTTTTCGT